CAAAGCGTGAGGACATCCAGTCAGAGATGGAAGAAAGGCAAGCAGTGACACGTTGCAGGACGGCAGGGGAGAGGTCCGGGGAGGAGAGGTATATCTGAGTGTCATCAGCGTACAGGTGGTAGTGGAATCCAAAAGAGGCAATAAGTTTACCAAGAGAGGCAGTATAAAGAGAAAATAGAAGGGGACCAAGGACAGACCCTTGGGGAACTCCAACCGAGACAGGACGAGGGGAGGAGGTATCCTTGGAAAAGGAGACACTGAATGAGCGTTGGGAGAGATAGGAGGAAAACCAAGAGAGGACAGAGTCACAGAGACCGAGCGATTGAAGAGTTTGAAGGAGGAGAGCATGATCAACGGTGTCAAAGGCAGCAGAGAGGTCAGGAGAATTAATATGGAGTAGTGACCTTTGGATTTAGCGGAGATGAGGTCATTAGTCACTTTGATAAGAGCAGTTTCAGTAGAGTGGAGAGGGCGGAAGCCAGACTGAAGAGGGTCAAGGAGAGAGTTGGAATTAAGGAAGCGAGACACACGGGTAAAGACTTTCCAAGAGCTTTGATGAGAAAGGGAGCAGGGATATGGGACGATAGTTAGAAGGGGAGGATGGGTCAAGAGATGTTTTTTTCAGGATAGGTATTACAGTGGCATGTTTAAGGTCAGCAGGAACAGTGCTAGAAGAGAGAGAGCAGTTAAATATGTGTGTTAGGGTAGGCACAAGACAAGGGGAGAGAGATCTGATGAGGTGAGATGGGACAGGATCGAGCAGGCAAGTGGTGGGGCGAGAGGAATGGAGAAGCGCAGCCACCTCTTGTTTAGTAGCCGGGTAGAAAGTCTGGAGGGTAGGGAAAGCATGATTTACATGTGGTTGAGAAAGAGAACGGCAAGGAGGGCAGAATTGTTTCCTTAGCTGTTCAATCTTATTGGTAAAGTAGCATGCAAAGCTATCAGCTGTGAGGTTAGTTTGGGGGGTGGCCACAGCAGGGCGGAGAAGGGAATTAAAGGTGTCAAAGAGACGTCTGGGATTGCTGGAGCATGAACTAATGAGAGAGGAAAAGTATGACTGTTTGGCGAGGCTGTATGAAAGCAACATGAATCTATAATGGAGAAAGTCTGCCTGGGTGCGGGACTTCCTCCAGGAGCATTCAGCACAACGGGAGCAACTCTGCAGATAGCGTGTTGAATGATTATGCCAAGGTTGGGATCGTGTCCTCCTCGAGGTGCATGTTTGGAGTGGGGCTGCAGCGTTCAAGGCAGATGTGAGGGTAGTGTTATATGTGGAGATGGCCAGTGAGGGACAGGAGAGGGAAGGGATGGATAGCAGTTGTGAATCAATGTCAGCTGACAGCTGCTGGAGGTCAATAGAGTTAAGGTTCCTCCTGAGCTGATGGGGGTTAGGCCGAGATTGTTGGGTGGGGGGTAATTGAGAGCAAACGATAAGAGGTTGTGATCAGAGAGAGGAAATGGAGTGTTGCAGATATTAGATACTGTACATGAAGAAGAGAAAATAAGGTCGAGGGTATTGCCAGCTACATGAGTGGGAGAATTAGCCCACTGCAAAAGTCCAAGGGAGGAAGTAATTGAAAGTAGTTTAGAGGCTGCTGGGGTTAAAGGTGGGTTAACGGGAATATTGAAGTCTCCAAGAATTAGGGATGGGATGTTAGAAGAGAGGAAGTAGGGTAGCCAGGCAGCAAAGTGGTCAAGGAAGAGGAGAGGGGAACCAGGGGGACGATAGATTACGGCAATTTTAGCAGAGAAGGGTTTGAAAAGGCGAATTGAATGAATTTCAAATGATGGGAAAGAGAGGGAAGGGGGGGTGGACAGGGTTTTAAAGGAGCAGTGGGGTGAGAGAAGAAAACCTACACCACCACCTTTAATCTCCACTTGTCTTGGATTGTGGGTAAAGTGAAGACCACCAAAGGACAGTGAGGCAGGTGTAGCAGTATCAGAGGGAGAGAGCCATATTTCTGTTAGTGCAAGTATGTTTAGGGAGTGTGAGATAAATAGGTCATGGATGGAAGTAGATTTAAAGGTGCTGCACACAGAGCGTGCATTCCAGAGGGCAGCTTTAAAAGAGGAATTATAGTGAGAATTACATGGAATGGGTATTAGGTTGTTGTGGTTTCTGGTGTTTGTACCAGGTGGCTGAGTAGTGGAGGGACCAGGGTTTGGAGAGACATCACCTGCTTCTAGGAGTAGTAGGATAGAAAGGAAGAGAAGGTGGGAGTAAGATTTAAATGTTGGAGATGAGAGCTTGTATTTAGGGTATTTAGGAGGGGTGTGTGGAGAAAGGCTGGATAATTATGAATAAAGTGCGTGTGATGAATACTGAGATAAGGGGAGCAGAGAGGGAGCAATGAAGATGGTGTTAGCAGGAACAGGTAAGTAAAATGATAGAGAGATTTTAATGATGAGGGAAGTGAGAGAGAAAGTGAAAAATAGAAGTGAGAGCATTAGTAGGAGAGTAGGTGCTGTATTCTTAAGAGCTGTGGTTAGGAGGGTTAAGGGTTAAAGAGGTATTGTGTGAGTATAGCTATTTTGGGTGTGGAGGGCTTGGTGGACAGAGGCTAACATAATTGGTTTAACAGGAAAGGTAGGTAATTTGAGCTATCTATAAATGTAGTGATTACCATGGGTAGGGTGCGTGGGAAGAGATCATCCAGAAATGCTATCTCTGCTAGTTACGTTACTAAATACATGGGGAAATTAAACATATTTGTAGTTTTATATACTGATCTATTGTATGTTTACTCTTGTGATGCCTTTAGGATGCTGTGTGAAAAGAGAAAATAGAGAACATTTCTAGAAAAGATTAAAAAATATAAAAATAATTTGTATTCCATATATTCACTTTTTAAACCACTCTAAGTAGGTATACAGTTATCTGCGGGATGTATAAACTCCACAGTTGTATTCTATTCTTTTGTCTCTTATGAAATTGTTCCGGAACATTCAGAGATAGCTTTTTGCTGCTCACCCTATGCCTGCCATGTTCCGGAGTATGCCAAATTGCCCTTCTAGATCAGAGCTTACAAAACAAACTGTCATATTTCAAGAGCCAGAATGTATCAGTATTCCAGAGTTCTTTTACCTTAGATGTCAGTCTGATGGTCTTGTTCTAAAACAGTCCGGATAATTTACCCCGCTTTTTGGTCACTTATGGTCATTAAAACCTGTAATTATCATCAGATATGGCTTAAAGCGGCACTGTCATGCCGAAATTACCTTTCCCCGCTTCCTCTTCTCTCCCTCTCTCGGGATCTGTTCTTCATTTCTTCCTATCTGCTATATTTTTCCACTTTGTCTGATGTATTTTTCCTATGCTTGACCAGCGGAGGAGCAAAGTCCGCTCCATTTACTGTGGTCAAAGCAATTTGTCCACAATTCTCACCTTCCTCCTGCTGCTTAATTTGGCATTCGAACGCCAGCGAAACTACCGAATTTCATCCTAACAGAAACAGAAAGTTTGTCCATTCGTGTAAGGACAAAATTTTTGACTTTTGTTCGGATCAGAATTTCATTAGAATGAATGAAACTCAGATCCGTGCTGCGGCGGCATCTTGCAGCCACTTAGCAGATAGCTTCCTAATTTCCACGGGATTAGGAAGCTATCTACTATAAGGCTGAAAGAACTAAATTTGTCTTTCAGAAAAATTTACTAATACTAAGTAAAGATTACTTAGTATTAGTAATATATCTGCCCCTACTCGCTATACCGCGAGTAGGGACATGTCTACTAAACAGTGAGCAGCCAGTGACTGCTTACTGTTGTAAAAAACACCCCCCACTACTTTAATAAAGTTCCCCTTTAGTGGGGCACCTATAAAAATAATTATAATGCACCAAGAGTGGGGGCCACTTAACTAAATGGGGGACCTAGGGTCCTCCCTCGGCCCCCACCCAAGGGTGGCAGGTGGAGGCCCAAGTGACAATGGGGGGACCTATTGTCCACCCCCGCTGGCCCCCAGGCATGCGGGGCAGGTGTAGACCCTAAAATACAACAGGGGGTGACCTATTGTCCACTCCCTTGCCCCCACCCATGCGTGGTGGGTGGGGACCCTAAAATACAACAGGGGGGTCTTATGTCCACCCTCCAGCCCCCACTCATGCACAGCAGGTGGGGGCCCTTAAGTTACAATAGGGGGGATCTATTGACCACCCCCCCAGCCTCCACCCATGTGCGGCAGGTGGGGACCCTGAAATACAATGGGGGGGCCTGTTGTCCACCCCCTGGCCGCCACCCATGTGCAATGGGAGGGGGCCCTTAAGTTATAATGGGGGGACCTATTGTCCACCCTACGGGCCTCACCCATGAGCGGCGGGTGGAGGTCCAAGTGACAATGGGGGTGACCTATTGTCCACCCCCCCGGGCCCACACCCATGAGCGGCGGGTGGGGGCAATAAGTTGCAATAGGGGTGGACCTATTGTCTCCCCCCACAGCCCCCACCCATGGGTGGCGGGTGGAGGCCCAAGTGACAATAGGGGGGGGCACCACTAAGGGGCACTTTAATAAAGTAGTGGGGGGTCTTTTTACAACAGTGAGCATCCACTGGCTGTTCACTGTTTAGTAAACATGCCCCTACTCACGGTATAGCGAGTAGGGACAGATTTATTACTAATACTAAGTAATCTTTACGTAGTAGTAGTAAATTTGTCTGAAAGACCAATTTAGGTCTTTTAGCCTTTTAGTAGATAGCTCCCTAATACCGTGGGACTTAAGGAGCTATCTAATCGCGGCATGAATAGGATCAGAGATCCGAACAAAAGTCCCGAAATTCATCCTAACACGAATGGAAAAACTGTTCTCATTCTGTTAGGATGAAATTTGGTAGTTTCACCCGCGTTCTAACGCCGAACATAGGCGTGCGCAGCCTATTGCATTAGGGTGTGCACCCTAAAGCACAAACACCCGCCGTGTGTGTGTGTGTGTGTGTGTATGTATGTAAATATATATATATATATATACATACATACACACACACACAAACACATACACTGCTGTGTTTGCTGTTAGTGTGATGTGTGTGAGGGTGCTGTTGGTGTGATGTGAGGGTATTTTTGTGTGTGTGTGTGTGTGTGTGTGTTTGTGACTGTGCTGTTTGTGTGTGAGGGTGTTTGTGTGTGTATGTCCTGTGAGGGTGCTGTTTGTGTGAGTGTCGTGTATTTGTGAGGGTGCTGTTTGTGTGTGTGTTTGTGAGGGTGCTGTTAGTGTGCTGTGTGTGAGGGTGTTGTGTTTTTTTTAAAGGTGCTGTGTGTGTTTGTGAGGGTGCGGTTAGTGTACTGTGTGTGTGTGAGCTGTATGTGTGTAGGTGCTGTATGTGTGTGTGCTGTATGTTTGGAGGGATTTGGCAGATTAGTAAATCCTTGCTGCCATGTGCCATCCCTGGTGGTCCAGTGGAGAGTGAACTCTAGCCTGCGGGGCTAGAGTTAACTCTCGCGAGATCTGAGCGTTGCCGCAGCAACGCTCAGATATCGCGAGAGGAACCTGGCGGAGCTTCTGTCTAGAGCTCCCTGGGTCCTCTCCTGCCTCCCTCCATGCTGCTGTGGGCCGGTGAGGTAGATCTTTGGTCTCCCCGCCGGCCCATGGAGGCTTAGAGCAGAGCCGGCACTCAGATAGCGCCGGCTCTGTGTGTGTGTGTATATATATATATATTTATATATATATGCGTACACACACACACTCACAGACACACACACACATACACTCACAGACACACACACACACACACTCGACACACATACACAGACAAACACACACTCACAGACACACATTCACAGACACACACACACACAGACACACTCACACACACACAGACACACAGACACACTCACACACACACAGACACACATTCACAGACACACACACTCACAGACACACACACACACAGACACACATACTCACACACAGACACACACACTCACACACAGACACACACTCACAGACACACACACAGACACACAGACACACACTCACAGACACACACACAAGAACAAATTATTATATTTTAATAAAAAACAATGTCCACCCAGCCTCCTACCTGGAGTGCTGGTGGACTTGTCCCTGGGGTCCAGTGGGGCGGGCGCCTCTCTCCAGCTGAGCCGCGGCGAGGGAGCTCTCTGCTGTGTGCTCTCAGCTCCCTCTCGCCGCGCGGGCTGTCCGCTGTAGCTGGGAGCCGGAATATGACGTCATATTCCGGCTCCCGGCATCAGCGCGCGGCGAGAGGGGGCTGAGAGCACACAGCAGAGAGCTCCCTCGCCGCGGCTCAGCTGGAGGGGGAGGGGGGAATCCATCACCTCTTGCCCCCCCATGACAGGGGCAAGAGGTGAGTGGGGCGCTGAGTGCCTGCAGGAACAGCGTTCCTGCTCAAAAAAAGTGCAGGAACGCTGTTCCTGCAGGACTCAAACCATAGGCGTGCCACGGGGATTAGGGTGTGCCCAGGCACACCCGGCACACCCCGTGCGCACGCCTATGACGCCGAATGAAGCAGTAGGAGGAAAGTGAGAATTGTGGGAAATTGCTTTGACCAGAAGAAATGGAGCGGACTTTGCTCCTCCCCTGGGTCAGAGCTGGTCAAGCATAGGAAAAATACACAAGACAAAATAGTCCTTACATTGTCTTATGTTTTAAATAAAACTAGAGCAGTCAGAAAGAAATGAAGAACAGATCCTGAAAGAGGGAGAGAAGAGGAATCGATTGGGGAAAGGTAAGTTCGGCATGACAGTGCTGCTTTAAGCCTCCAAGACTCTTCCTGTTATTGCCTTGTGTATGGAGTTTTACAAGATATTCTACTACAGAGCATAATAAAAGATAAGAGATGAGATGTAATGTTACCATTATTATTATTATTTTATTTATATAGCGTCAGCAAATTCCGTAGCACTGTACAATATGTAGATTTAAAACTAAATACATATATAAATACAAAAAGTATACACAAAAATTATCTACAGGTAGAGGACACGCACTAATATGAAAATAGTTCAATCGACTATTAAAAAAACAATCTTTATTACTATTGAGTTGACACATGTTGACTTTATTACTACAAGTTGAGACTTCACACATGTATCCTGATTGTGACAACAAATTGCAACTATGCACCCATTAAAATAGGATGTAGTAGATGTGTCCTGTAATAATTAAGTTTTTTTATTTTTTTTAAGAATAGGGAAAGGCCCTAAATAAAAACCTGCAGCTCCTAAATAAACTTAATTTAATGAGCTTGCTATTATAGAAATAGGCACTGGATTTGTGCATTCAGTTTCAACTGGATCGCAATCCGTCCAAATTTTGGGCACTTGGCGAGTCGTCTGAATTTCTAGACTTTGAATCACCATATGACCAATTCATGAAAACAAAGGAATGAGCAATGAAAAGAAGCCTCCATTACCATGGCACCTGGAAGGGACTATGTGCCAGCTTCCTCCCCACCAACTACGAGCCTTGGTCTAGAGAGGGTTCTGTTTTTGAGAAGATGTATATATGGGAACAATCGGAACTACTTCTTCCCACTGGTATGGGTTTTTCACATTCCCTTAATTACTAGTGTAACAGAAGATTTCCCAACTTTCAATTACTTGTCATCTGGTATAAAACGGTCCTATTTTTTTCCCAGCAGGGTGTTATTCCCTTCTTCCAGGGACTCTTACAAACCAGTTCAAAGTAGCTGTCTTGTCATTCCTTTAAATCTCCGATATGGTCCTCAGCCCATGTTATTGTCTGTCCCCACCCTTCCTGGTAACCACAGTGCTCCATTCACACTAGCTGTAATGTAATTAAGCTTTGTAGTGGAATGGTTTGCTATTCAAAGTCCATATTGCTCTTGGTTGGTTTGAGCTCATTGTACTATTTGGGAGGTGGTTACAGTGGAGGACATGAAGGAGAACTTTGTATACCACTGTAACCATATTACATGTAAATTAGGCTGTTGGGGGTATAAATAGATGTGCTCTTTTCAATAAAGCTCAGTTGTGTTTCACCCTCTGCTATTTTTCAACTAGTATAAAGGTGGAAGGGGTGATGTGGCTATAATCACTGCCTTGCTATAATCACTGCTTTGTAGAAGAGAAACTCTCTATATTCACAGCAGCCTGGTCTGGGGAAGAGGTCCTCAGAGATCCCAGTCAAGCTTCTGCGACTTGGTCTGAAGCGCTCCAGGGTTGCTGGTGGCAGAGAAGGATCTTATCTGGTTACTCAGTCGGTGTTCTGGAGCTCCGTCACAGAATGAATGAGCTATTTCTTTTGTTTTGTGAATTGGAAATTTGTATGTGGTGCCAAAAAGATGATTGATGGTTAGCGCACAGCCACTAAATGTTGATTTTTATTCACATATCAAGTGAGAAGTTGACCAAAGAAGTGACCAACAGAGGGAAAAATGGAGGTGTAGTAAAATAAAATCTATTCATACATTATATATGTATAAATTTTATAAACATATTTTGTAAAGTTATTTTATAGCTACACCACCTTTTTTTTGTCAATCTGTATTCTTTTTATTGAGGCATACATGTTGAATACACTGCCATTATACTAGTGACATATCGAGACACAAACTTGTTTATTATAATAGCAATGTAGTATAGCACGTACAATAACAATTAACGTGAATATAAAATGGAACTAAGCATTCAAACACAGATATAGTATTCAGGCTTCTTTTAAATGAAGAAAAATAAACAAGCGCATCGAATAATGAGAAAATAATTTATATAGTCAGAATATTATAATGCAAAACAACTGCACATCCTGTAGTTAAATATCTAAAATTGATCATTATTTAATGATACAGAAAATAAAATTCTAATTTAATCTATATACACCAAAATATGATTCATAAAAGAAAAATGTCCACATATAGTTAATTAATTTACACAGAGAACGGTCTTAGCAATACATATCATCTGGTCCATTTTTGCGTCATTTGGTTTGTCCTAATAATTTTTCCTGAAATGATTGCATGGACAAAACTAAGCCGAATCGAAATGTTGCATGGATGAATCCCAAACAGACTGAATCAAAATATTTTGGGACAAACCAAATTTCCACAGTGTACAAGTCTGGGAGGTGCCTTCCACATAGACCACATAGTTAAATTCAGAGAAAATGGTTCACTATCATTGAGAGAGGGTTTGAAGCATTCAAAGAAGTTAACTCACTGAACACTGAATTGTAGTGAATTGTATATGAATGGCAAAATTCTGGCTAAACTACCCAATCTGTCACTATAACTGAAATATTGCAGATCACATATTTTCCGTAATTTTGCTTGTTTTACAGCACTAGGACAAACATTTTACTGCCAATTTTTTTTTTTTTACCCAGTGTTGCAGAATTTAAGACTTTTCATCGTTACTTACACATATGCACTGCTATGTATGTACATGGGTCACTGCTTATCTACCTACAACAGGTAGGTATCACCTTATCATCTGCCATTAAATAAGTGGCTTCTTAAACTGGGGAAGAAAGAGCTATCTTGACATTTAAATAAACAAACAGTTCAATATTATTGTTGCTTGCCTTATGCCGTGAAACTTAAAAATAGAGTGTTGTAATACTCACAAGATAAACTTGTTGAGTGCTCTGTAATATGAGAGAAATAATCATATGTAACAGAATTCTATAGATAATTCAAAAATAAAGAACAGATAGTCACCAAGCATTCTCTTAATCTTAAATTCCTTTTGTCATATATCGAAGGTGGTCCATGGCTTTGTTGGTGATTTTTGTTACATAACATGACAGATTTCTTTGAGTTATACATTGACTTTATATCCTTAGACCGTCAATCTTTTTTCTTCTTTTTTCTTTTGTGTAACTCAGTGTCATGCTCACTCACGTTTCTGGCCGTGCTCCTGCCTCCACTCTAGCGATTCCAATGCCGGCCACTGTAGCTCTGCTCTCGTTTATGACGCAGCGTGTGCACGCCGACGCCATGATGCTAATGATGTCATGGCCCGCCAAAAGGTTCAAACTAGGACTTTTGGGGGTGTGGCTTCAAATTTAAAGATCCAGCCTATAAAAGGTAGATTCAACCATAGTTCTTATCCCTGTTGTGGTTCTACTCACAATTCCGAGTATTGCTTTGCTTTTCAGTGTGTTCTTGTGTCTTGACCTCGACTTTCTGACTATTCTCATTTCTGTATTCCTGACCCGGCTTTAGTATCTCGTTACTGTGTTTTCTGGTTCCCTTGACTCAGCTTGTTTTCCTCGATTCCGTGATTTCTGGCTCCCTTGACCGTTGCTTGTCCCCGACCATTCTTTATCTGTCTGGCGTTAAGTCCGGCCATTCTCAGGCCCGGTATATGTTTTTCTATTACATCATGTGTGTTGGGTCTCTAAGGAATCCTGACACTCAGTGTAGATCAGAGGTGCCTAAAAGGTAGATCCCAGATGTTTTTAAACTACAGCTTCCATGATGCTTTGTCATTCTAAAGCATTCTAAAGGCATACAAAGCATCATGGTAGTAGTGGGCACACCTGGTCTAGGTTTAAAAAAATGGAAGCATTTGAATAAGGAGACAATTTCTAGATTATGAGGGATTTCTGGGTCGTCGTGAGAACCTGGACATACAAGTGAGTCAATACAAGCTACAATTTCAGTTTCTTGGTCCTTAGGAAAATAACAAGTCTCTCTGATGGTAAAGGTTTGACAGCTGAAAATAACACGTCTCTCTGATGGTAAAGGTTTGACAGCTGAATCAACTTTGCATTTTTTAGCCCTGAATGTAGTAAAATGCCCAGAAGTATTCTAGAGCAAAGGTCCCTCACATATTTTTTCAACTACCAATTGAGGCACGCTAAACTTTGCATTATTTAGTAAAGTGTGATCATCTTTAGTAACTAGGCCCCATATGACTACATAGGGGATGTTTCTAATACAGTAGAAATGTCATTAAATGAGGAACACCAGACAGATCTCGGGTTATTTTGATTTCCTTAGAGTATTTAATATGTGTGCATAAAATGTCTCTGATCAAGAGTCTGCTAAAATAATAAATTTTGTCTTAGAGAACAACATAATCATTTTATCCACTAAGTATTTCTATATTGTTATTTTCTTTCTATTACTTGCAAATAAATGAAAGCATTAAACAATTTGTTAGCAAAATAGCTCCGCTCCAAACCCATTAATCCACAAAAACACTTCTTATTTCTTCGGCTCCATAGGTATTAACCGTTCTTTCCTCAATGGCTATGGTAATGTAATTCAGTATAAATTCTCAATGATTCTCTCATTTCTTCCATGGCCATTATTACATTATACTGCACTGATTATGAGAATATTTTCATACATAAAAATTGCTTGAAAGTTTAATTGGAAAA